GGCACACGCACTCCAGATCAGATCGGATAGCGAGCGGGGCCCATCCCTGCCCCTGCCAGAGCGTCTGATCTGCTCCGCAGGGATCGCGCCCGCCCGGACTCGCGCCGATTCATTTTACTTCCCGGAATCAGACACGGGAAAGAAAATGAGTGGCTCGGATATCTATTTTTAATATATTTTACTGCCTACCCAAAAAACAAACGCAGACGAAAAAATAATTAAAAATAAGAGACTGTCTTAAAAACCACACAAACAACAACAAAAACAGCGCCTTGCTCACAATCATTTTAAAACGCCGACAAACCCAGCGCGAGCTGTAATAGTGGTCGCGGTCGGGGTGGACCGCTCATTACCGCGTCTCCACGCCGTCCTCCGCGGCGCCCGTGTCCGTCCCGCGGAGGACGGCAGAGGCCGGCAGAGGATCCCCGCGCCTCCGCCAAATGGCCTGTGAAATTACCCGGCAGCAGCACAGGAGAGGCGTTGTGTGCTGAGCGTTATAACGCGTCCAACGTTTAGCGTCCCGTTCGACATGACGACATGCGCTGCTGCTGCTGCTGCTGCTGCTGCTGCTGCTGCTCCACGGTGAGACGGGACGGGGCTGGACGACGACGACGACGGGGGGCTGCGTGCGAGCGACGCTGCGGCAGCGTGTCCGCGCGGGGGCCGCCGCCGCCCCGCCCTGGCCCCGCCTGCCCAGCCTGCCCAGCCTGCCGGGCCTGTAATGGTCGCGACGTGCACCGACACCTGAGCATGGGGGAATTATATTCCTGAGGCTGTGATGAGCAGGGGGCTACAATGTTACCCCCTATGTGTGTGTGTGTGTGTGTATGTGTGAGTGTGTGTGTGTGTGTGTGCGCGCGCGTAAAGCGTTTTGTAGCGCGATGGCTCTCTCGGGTTGTACGCCCCGCTCTGCCCCGCTCTGCGCCCTGCGCCAGCACCGGGTCCCGCAGCTTCTCCCACATCCTCGTTGTTGTTGTTGATGTTTTGATAGCGGCAGTTTGGTCCGGAGTGCCGGACTCATCCGCGCACAAGTCAATATAAAAAAAAAGAGAGCCGCCCGCCGTACAGTACGCCCCAACCGTCGGACACTGGAAAGAAAAACCTCGAGTTTCTTTTGGGTCCTTTTTGTTTTGAAGTGCCACTAAAAGTATCACTAAAACGTAACAAGTGATTAAAGATGTTTTAATTGCCTTTTTTTTGGCGGTGTTAGTAGTGATTGGTCGAGGTGACATGGCAGAGGGGCTATGTGGAGCGGGGAGGGACACGGCTAAGGGGGGCAGAGAGGGGGACGACGACGCCACCGGGATACGACATGAGACTGGACGCGCGTAAGAGTGGACGACACCATGAGAGCGTCCACGAGGACGAGGGAGAGGAGGAGGAGGAGGGTCGGGGCACGCGGCTGGGCAGAAGCGTCAGCGGCAGCGGAGACCACGCCATTTATTCACAAACAGGCGATGAGCCAAGAGCTGCTGCTGCTGCTGTCTGAGTGTGCGCGGCCGTGTGACAACGCCTATATCGCGCTCTGCTGGTAAGGGCTCACTGACACACACACGCACACTCACACACGCACGCACACACACACACACACTCTCTCTCTCTCACACACACACACACACACACACACACACAGTCGCAGCATCGGCGGAAACGGCTTACACGGAAACATGCACGCACGCACACTACTGCGCCAGTTTTTCAACGCCCGGTGATCGCTCTGCGAGTGCTCTGCTGCTGGCTGCCCGGCGAGGAGGCTCGCTCTCCGCTCCGCTCTGCTCTGCTCTGCTCTGCTCCAACGGCACATGGCACTGGCACCGGCCGATGACACGCCCAGGACACGGATTCCAGGACGCTGCTGGAGCATTCCTCCTTATCCTCTCTCTGCACCCGTGGAGCCCCGGGGCGGCCGCCGCCGTGGGGTTGTGTCGCTGCGTGGCGCCTCCCGGGCTGCTGGGCTGGGAGGGGCTTTAGGGGATGCCCCCCAGTCTGCTTTACATAAACACGGCGACGGCCGCGGAGCGCCACCGCAGGGGACGCAGGAGGGCAGCGTCGCGGTGTAACTGACCTTACACTGCGCCGAGTAAAGCGACACATCCAACAAAGAAGTAAGTGTGTTCCTGATTTTCGAATACACTTTTCGTGGTATATTAGTTTTCTTAAAGAAAATTATTGCGCTTGTAGAGAGCATTCTGTGCACTATTTACTTTGAATATAGTGATTTTTTTTTCTCAGAACAAAGCGTAATGTTCATGAGAAAATCAGGTGTATTAAAATCAAGACCACACCATCACACACGGGGCACGCACCGAATGTCACAATACACTTGACAACAATGTTGCCAAAAGCGTACATATTTTCAAAATTCTAGGTCAGAAAAAAACAGTTTTGCCACACTTTGCCCGATTTGTGATTTTGGACATATACATGCTATACGACATTTTTTTGCACTGTACAAAAGTTAGTAAAGGCAAACCGTGATTCAGAGGGCGACTCTGCTGCTCTGCATGAGAAGTGGAAATAACGACAAAAAAGGGCACTTTTATATCAGGCTGTCTCGCGCGTTTTCACTCACGGCGGAGACCTCGACGCACGCGGAGGGAGCGGAGCATATCACTTTTAGAGTACCGGGCGGGTGGGCGCCGCCACGCCGAGCCACGCCCGCGGAGATTAGAAACACGAGTACTGACAGGGCGGGGTGGGGGGGGGGGCATGACATGACGAGGCAGCCTCGTGGAGGTCCGAAAACTGTCGGGGGGGACAACAGCACAGCGGCGTAAGTCGGCGTAATCCAGCGACGACGACGGTGCGTCCCGGGACCACGCGATCCTCTTCCTCGAGGACATGGAAATATCGCCCCAATACTCCCCTTCCCCGCCCCTGCGTCCCCACTCGCTCTGGAATCTGCGCGTATCCAGACGGCCGGGCCCCCCCGGTGGCCAGGCCGGGCAGCCGCCTCGAGGCGTTTTGCAGTGTACTTGTGCCTTGCGCCCCGCTGAGAGGGGCAGGTAATTGATTGCGTCTCGAGTAACAACAGGGACGGCGATAGCACCTCGGAGTGCAACTCGAATAAGTCATCGCGGGCCAATAACACGACAGTCTCTCCCCCCCCCCCTCTTTTCCACTCCTCGGCC